GTATTTGTGACATTACTTTGAACACTGTAATTATACAAATGAGGCAAACTTGGCTCAGTGGTTAGCATGCTGGAATGTGGATCTGCAGGGTACATCGTCTACTTTCCATTACTCTAAATTAAAAAATTGTACCCTATACTTTGGAACCATGGGTGTTTTCATAGGTGCCTAACCAGGAGAGTAGAATGGGCCCATGCCCCCCCCCCCCATTATGAATATTTTTAATGGAAAACTTTCTTGCCTTTTTCTCTTGCCAGTTGTTTTTTTTATAAATTCCCCACTTTTAAGAACGTTAGGTGCACATAAGTGGCATTCAGATGCAATTATTTGGTCAGATGAGAATAGCTGAATAGTTGGTGGTGAGTGCTGTTGACTAGTGCTTTGTCTTGAATCTGATCAAAGTTAGAACAGCTTCAAGTAAACTAAGAAAAATTGCATCATTGAGATCATAAAAGACTATTTCATTCAGTCTATTGCTTGTATTTCAGAATAATTGGATGTGTGTGTGAATATATATATATATATATACACATGTGTGCGTGTTTACAAGTTTAATACAAATCATTTTTCAAAATGCATTTAAATTCATATTCAGATACAAATTTTGATATCTAGGTTTTTACATAAAGCCTTTCTACTGTAATTTTTTAACCCTCATACTGAGATCTGACGCATTGTATCCACTTATGGGATTGTCGCTTTTAGAAATTGAATAGTTCGTTTACAAGGTTAAACATACGCTCAGAATAAAATTAGTTTACCATTACTCGTGGATCTTTTTACGTAATGTGGGGTTCTGTTCAAAATGAGGAGACCTTTCAAGAAATAGTTTATTTACTCGTACAGCTTACCTCTTTTTGGAATTAAACACCCATCTACATTCGTGAAGGGAAGAAGAGGATTCTGACAGTGGAATGCTTCTTAGACTGATTATCATGATGACGTTGACACAATATTGCTGTGGCCTTGAAATTTTTGTAGATGGTGGCCCATCGGTATCAGTTGGCTGTTCAATAGTGACTAGTGTTAAATGATTGTATCTCTTTTATACCTGGTGTTGTGTTTGGGTATAGAGCTGGGCGATTTAATCGATTAACTATGAGCAGCGGTTACAATAATTAGTTTTATTGTAAACTAATCTAAATTATGATTAGTGTCACAATAATATACAATTAATGTTTGCGATTACACAAGGCCTGCAAATTTAAACTTCATAAAAATTGTTTTGGTTTTAATAACTGATTTTCCATGATTCAGCTACTCAGATTTCGAAAATAATATTAATTTTTTCTATCACGTAAGGACATTTTACAAACAGGGAAGAAAAGAAAATTTGCTTAGATCAAATTATTATTTCGTATACCACAATGAACATTTTTTATTATTATATTTAGTAACAAAAATATAAACAAACTGAAGAAAGGGGACGAACATTGATGTCAAACCAATATGCATCCTCATTCATCCTGATTTTCTTGTGTGTGTGAAATCTACGTCTTTTAGTCTCCAACCTACTTGTTGTGGTTTTTCTTTTACGTATTGCGTCTGCAGCATCTCGTTTCAATGACCAGCAGTAATCAGCCATCATGCTGATGTTCCACCTTCCCTGATGTCGTCTTGATGAAACCCTTCCAGACGTTTCAGATTGAAAACAATCCCTATCATCATTTCTATTGACTTCAGAATCAGTTTAAATTGTATCAAGAGTCTCCGGTGGAATAGGTACAGCAGATTGGTTCGGCTAAGAAATTTTCTTTTTATTTCAAGTGTTATAGCCTTGCACGTTACATGAGCAAAAATAGCAGTCATCTTCGTGGTTTCTAGACTCACGCCAGACCATTGGAATTCCAAAAGGCAAAGACGTTTTCTTACCTTTAGTCCATTGTCTCAACTCTTCGACACAATGGTGCAAACTTTGTGTGGAGCCCATGATTTGTCTTGGTCCCCAAGTTTTATTCCAAAATACGCGTAATACACTTGTTTCACGTATTCTGTAATGTTTTGCCCTTCTTTCTTTACCACAAATATAACAGAATATGTTTGGGTAATTTACACAACCTCTTGTTGCCATAGAGAGGAATAAATAATATTATAAAGAAAAAAC